TGACCCTGTAGGACACAGTAGAACTGCCCCGTGGGGTTTCCAAGGCTGTAAATCTTTACAGAAGCAGACTGCCACCTCTGTCTTCCAAAAAATAGAATTCTTTTCTCTTTGGCTAAACTCTAGGTATTTTCCACTACAAAAGTAATACAAAGGAATACATGCTGCTGTAAAAAAAAATTACCATAATGCCCTTATGAAAATACCTCACATGGGGAGGGCACAGTTGGCAAACAAATGTAGAACGTGTATATTATTTGGGTAAAAATATGTTACTTAACTATATGCAATTTATGCTGGTTTATGTATACAATTTCTTTTCTGGAAAGAATCATAAGAAAAAGTGAATAGAATTTACCTTTAGGGAGAGGGACTGTGGAGAGAAACGTTTGAAATTTCTAATTTTACATTGTAAAGACCAACGTTTGTTCTATTCTATTTTGCAAAGTTCAAAAGCACTGGGGCTTGAAGAGTACATCATTTAAACTGGAATACAAATCAGATAGAACATATGACTTTTCAAGATACTCTTTTGTGAGTAGAAATGAGTGGTATTAAGGAGAAAGAAAGTGTTCCAGGAAGTGGACACCATAGTTTCTTGGGAAAAGAGAATTGGGTAAATGGCTTCCCTGGTTCTGGAATGGCTTCTCCACTAGTCTCCAGATAATTAACCCCTAGCCCAGGTGTTAGGCTCTAGGGGCAAATATATCCTTGTTAGACAAGTCAGAGAATTTAAGGACACAGTGTACTTTAAGGACCAGAAGGATCCAAAACCCAATTCTTCTGCCTGAGTTTCTGCCTCTTCTCATCCCAGGGAAGGCACATCTACATTGGCAAGTGACACTCTCTGACTGCCATGTTCCTCTGGGGCCCAGCGGATATTCCTGTACTATTCATCTTTGACTTTTCTCTTGGGCAAATACATAGTTCTAGGTCTTGGTAAAGGGAACCTGGGATGTTCAAGGAAAGACAACAGTCTTGGCAGATGACAAGGATGAGAGTCAAGTGGCAGCCCCAGGGGGTGGTAGAGACAAGCTGCCTCCTTCATCCTCATTTTTGCACAGATCTTTTTGGGACAGGTATAGGGAATGGAGGCCACTCCCATCTGCATTCCCTGCACCTCCCTGTACACATTCCCATCCACCCTTCCAGCCTCCTTGGTGTCAGGTAATAATACTCTGCCGGCAATCGAGGGTGCTTTATGACTGTACCAGCCAATGCCCTCTAAAAAGCCGTTAGAGGCTCCTTCAGCCAAGGAATAAGTAACTCTATTCAGTTTCCTCCCACGCTCATTATCAACCTGGTTAATTTCTGTGTGAACATATTTAGAGTTTACTAATCCATCATGATTCTGGAGACTGTACCACGTGCCTAGCTAAGGCGATGGAAACAATAGTATAAGAATAAAGATGCAGCCCCAGCCCTCACGGACAGCACACTGCAGGTAGGAACAACCAAACCAGCATGGGTGAAGCACTGCATTGATGTGTTCACAGAGCAGAGGTTGAGCAGGAGGGACCCAGGGTTGACCATGAATTGTGAGAAGAGTCTAGATGACCAGCTGGCAATATCCTGGGAGAGGAACGGGCTTGGTAGATTTGATGGGGGCTCAGGGGTCCATGTCAGTGAAAGATATCAGATTAAGGACTGAGTCATGGGTATTGAGGGCCTGGGTGAGGTCGTGTAAGCATGGAGCAAATGCAGAAATGGGGGTTTTCTGAATCAAAGAGGGGTATGAGTATAAAGTCTGAGAATCTGAAGAGTCTCAACATGATGGTTGAGAATTTGAAAAAGAGACTCTTCCATCCTCATCTCAGACACCCCTGACTGCAGAGGATGCACAAGCCTATTGCCTGTGGTGCCTGATGTGAAAAGGGGTCATTGCACCAAGGCCTCGGCCCACTTTTAGGCGAGGTATGTGGCTACAGCGACTGTCAGGACCAGAAAAGTAAGGCTCCTATGACTGGTGAATTGGGGTGTTACCCTGGGAGACAGCTCTAATTTCTGTTAAAGCAAAGGACAATCTAAACACATCACCCCATATGTATGTAGTTGTAACTAGAGATCAACCCTTCAGCTGCTTAAAAAACCCAGCATGGTCTAAATTAGCAAAAGATGACGTGTTCCCACTGTGCAGGTCTGCCACTATGACAAGCTCTGCCTTGGAGAAGCCACCTATAGGGAAGTACCCAAGTGTGGGAAGCCCCAGACTGCACCCAGTTTGGGGTTAGCTTTGGACTAGTCAGCGTGTTAAGAATATATGCTGAAGGGGAAATGAAAGAAAATATCAGGGGAAGGAAGGCAAAGGTCAAAAGCCTGGAAGGCAGCCACTGTCAGAAAATGACCAAAGACAGGGACTAGAAGGTCAAGAGATGGAAGAGTTTAGACGGATTCGAAGTTAAGTCCCTTGTGGTGTGTCTGTAAAGCTGGGATTTCTAACCATTTTCCAAAGAATCCTAGGATTCTACAAAGATGCCTCAGGGGTGCCGCAAATGTTGAATTTTAAATAGAATTTAAAATCTATATTAAACCATTTTAAAATAAACAAACAAAATAATCCCCCACACAATCCCATATGTGTCATCTACTAAATTTCATTACATTGGAGACCATCAACACACTAACCTGAGCTACGGAGTTTTAAGGAGACTTTGGAATAATGCTTCTCTTTCCCTCTGTGCATATATATTTGAATTTCTTACAAGATCACTGTTCAGCATTGATCGTTTTAAATGTTTTTGTCTGCTTGCGTCCACTTGCAAAAAATTGCCAAGGAAATTACTTCTCATCTAGCTGACTCAGGATTTCCTCAATACCTTGCAACCAAAACAAGATTTAGAAATAAATGAAGGGCATCCTGAGGTTGGTAGCACACAGCTACCACCGTGACCCAAGATGGCGATTAAAGCTTCATCAGCACAGCCTTGTGGTCTCCTTGGGTTGACTTTGTGATCTGTAAATATTAGAAACGTGAACTTCTACAATCCTACCTTCATCTGTGGTATGTACGTGCTATAGATGGATCCCCCACGTACAATTTTGTTTTATGAAAGTTTTATTTTGCTAAAACAGCTTGATTGGTCTGGGCTCTGAAGGGACAGAGTAGGCTCAAAACCACAACCCAAGACTTCGCGCTCCTCAGAAGGAAACTAACTGGGTGTGAGGAGGTCCAGGCTCCCACCCACAGTTAACTTGAGGGTGGGCTCCTACCAGACATGCAGGGAACAGCAGTGCCTTCAGTGAGCTGGTCCAGGCTGGCCTTTGAGAGGCCGACCTCTCAGGCCGAGTCCTGGCTGAGGAGAACTCAGCCGCCTCTGTGTCCAGCACAGCACTGCGGGCACCTGGACTTCCTGCTACCCAACCCCTCTGAGCCCGGCCTTCTCAGCAGACACAGCTCTGTTCTCAGATGCTCTGTGAATCACTGTGTCTCAGTTTAACTAAGATAAGTAACCTTCTGAATCCCTGTTTTTGACTGAACTATTGTTTCAGGGAGAAGTTGTCATTTAACTAATCTACCATGTGGGAAACCCAGGTTCCATTCCTGGCCAATGCACCCCATGCATAACCACCACCTGTCTGTCAGTGGAGGCTTGCATGTGGCTGTGAGGCTGAACCGGTTTGGGTGGAGCTTTCAGACTAAGGTGGACTAGGAAGAAAGGCCTGGCAATCTATGTCCAAAAATCCACCAAAGAAAACCCTATGGAACACAGCAGTCCAATCTACAACTGATCATGGGAGTAGCGGAGGATTGGTTATCAATGAAAATGAATACACTTCCCTTGTTCCATGCATGGGGCCACCATGAGTTAGGAGCCGACTCCATGGCAGCTCACAATATACACAGATTATGTCATCTCATCCTTAACACACTCCTACAGGTAGGGATTATCTTCAGTTACAGGTAAAGAAAAGTAACTTAGTCAAAGCCATACGGCTAAGAAACAGAGCAAGAATTCAAATCCAGTTTCATCTGACCCAGAGCCTGTGCCCTATCTACTCAGCATATTGCCACCCCAAGCGGGCTGACATCAGCACTCATTGAGTGTCTGCTGTATGCAGAACACAGTGCCAGGTATAGTGCTGAAAGAGGCAGAAGCCTCAAATCCTCGCCTTTGAGAACAAGTGCTTGACTTGGAGACAGCCCCTTTTTCAAGGTGCCCATCGATACAGTAGCTGAACTTTGCAGCAGGGAGTGGATGCTGAGTAGAGAAATGAAGTGTTGGAGGGAGATATGAATCATGGAAGCATCCTTGGAAGACGTGAAGAACAGAAATTAGCCAAAAGTGGAGGGAATGACAAGCAGATGGCACAGGGGACCTTTCTGAGACCAAGATGTGGAAGGGCGAGAGCCTTCTCTAGTCAGAGGACCTCACCGTCATACTGGGTTTAGACTGACTATATTAGGCAAACTGGAACCGTTGGTGGGTTCTTTATCAGGGGAAAACACCATGCAAATGGCATTTGAGGGAAATTGTTCTAAGGGACATCTGTGGTTAGCAGGGGCTGGTTAACATAATCTAGCCAGGAGGGAATGCCAGACATGAACTTGAGTTAGGCCGGCAGGATGAGACAGGACATCTAACAACCTCAATGACAAATCATTAATAGTTTGGAGACTAAAATTTAAAATTAATTATAGCATGAAACTGTAGATGTTCGTAGGGTGAAAAATGGGTATTTTGGAATTAATCAAATTTTATTTTCTTATAGTTGTCCTGGCTTAAGGAAGGTGAAAAGAAGTACTGTGGTTTTTTTTTTTTTTTTTTTTTAAAAAAAAAAAAAGAGTCAAACAATCAGGGAAAGTTGAATTTTTGTGAGAGAAAGTGTCCTGGTTTCCATCATTCCCGTGAGGATTGTAGTTTCCCTGCCCCTTTTAAGCTACCTCGGTAGAGGCAAAGGGCTTTTAGGGGACCTCCCAAAGGTTAGTACTGCATGAGCAAATGTTTGAGAAATAAAATCACTGCTGATGTAAGTTCCACCCAGTGTCTAAGCCGCAAGCTTACCTGAACTTCCCATGCCAAGCCACAAAAGGAGCCCCCCAAACCAGAGGCATCTCTTCCCGAGGCCTCTGGGCATCGTTGGGCTGGAAGTCTCAGAGGTGGAATGAAGCCGACCCCTAATGTCAAAGAGAGCAGAAAACCCAGCCCTTCGCAGGCGCGGACAGCAAACACTGGGATCTCACTAACCATTAACTGGTCTTGTGACCTCTTAAAGAAAAGTAAACTTTCCTGATTTGCTTAACGTCCAAAGTTTTCAGTTTCTTCTTCTCAATGAAAATAAATACTTTCCTCTTTTTTTTAAACCAAGGGACCTTGAAACACATTGTCCTTCCTCTCTGAGCCAAACACAATCAGGAAACTACTTCCTGCGCCTCTCCCACATCCCATTATAACATGTTAGTCATAACCCAAGCAAATGGCTTTCATCTCTGGAGGGATCACAAAACCCTCATTGTACTGGAATTATCTGTGGACTTGTTTGTCTCTCTAGGAAGACTCAGCCCCTTGAGGGCAAAGACTTTCTCTTTTCATTTTTGTATCCCAGTACCTAGCATAGAACTGAGCCAGCAATACATGTTGAGTATACATTTCCACCACCATCTGTCAGTTTTTGGTACTGTGGTGGCTGTGTGTTGCTGTGATGCTGGAAGCTATGTCACCACTATTTCAAATACCAGCAGGGCCACCCATGCTGGACAGGTTTCAGCAGAGCTTTCAGACTAAGACAGACTAGGAAGAAAGGCCTGGCAATCTACTTCCAAAAATTAGCCAATGAAAACCCTGTGGAACACACAGAATATTATCTGACTGGACTCACACATGGCAATGATCATGAAGATAATAGAGGATGGGGCAACATTTTGTTGTTATACGTAGGGTCGCCATGAGCTGGAGCCAACTTTTTTCTAGCAGCTAGCAACAACGGTATACGTTTAATGGATAGAATGAAAGAGGTGAGGTTTGCCTCTGGAGCATACTGTCCTTTCATTGAAGCTTAGGGCTAGATTAAAGCCCAACCTCTAAGAAAAAATATTTACTTTCTTAAATCCATAAATGAAGAAACTGAATATTAGAGAAATAAAATGACCTGCAGAGCCCCTGTTGCTGAAAGTGGCAGGGCTGGGCCTGGAACCAGGGCATTTCCACTGTACCACGTGGCTTCTTCACCCAAAGATGTGGAAGAAACCACAGGAGCTATACTCTAGGCCAGCCGTGGGGAGGGAGAGGGCAGAGAGTGTGCGTGGCACTCCCTAAATTCTAACAAGTTGCTGCGAGGCAGCACACCACCATCTGGGCCAAGGGTATCCTCCCTGGACGGTAACTCTGTGAGGTTAGTACAGTTTTCATTTCTGTTTTACACAGAGATGTTAGGGCATAAAGAGGCAAAGTAACTTGCATAAGGTCATGCAGAGCTGGGATCTGTAAGCAGGACAACCTGGCCATTGAAACACATTGCCCTATCCACCGCACCATCCAGCAACAACCCCAGGGAGGTTCTAGTACCATGCATACATGGCTGTGCCATGCCAGGCCCCAGGAGGATAGGGAAAAAATGATTTGGGTAGGCCGTGAGCTCACAGGGACAATCTTCACTTCCCCTCATGCACAGGATCCCACTGCTCAAGCGCTGCTGCCCCCAGGAAGGACTGTGGCAATACTCAGGGCACAGCAGAGGTCTCTACTGAAGGCTGCTCTGATGTCAGAGGCCAAGCCAGGTGTATTCGTTCAGGTCCTTGACGAAGAAGACACCAGGTGGGGACTAGATGTGCAGAGACTGATTGGGGTTATCACCCGTGAAGGATCAAGGGTGCTGAGAAGGCAGGGAGAGACTTTGGAACACCATGCACGTCTGACCCCTGTGAAGGAGAGGGAAGAAAGGAGGATAGAGTCTTGGACTGCAGCACAGTTCCTGGGAAACTCTTGGCCAGGCTGCTGGGGAGTCCTCAAACTAGTCACCTGTTAAAGGCATCCCATGTCTTGCAGGAATAGGGCTGCCACAGTAGCCCTCTCATGCTCAGTCTTAGCTGAAGTAGCCTCAGCACAAAGGCAGGGATAGATCCAGAAGGGCAGCATCTGGGGCCATCAATCAATTATGCTCTTCACATTTTCATGGCCGCCCACACGTGGCCAAAGCTGGCCCTGTAAGCCAGTTAATCCCGGGTGCCCTTGTGTGTGGCATTAGTACAACTGACCTTTAGACAGGATTTTCCCTTCACGCTCATCATTTAGTACAATAGGCTTCCAGGACCAGCTGTCTCAGACTCACCCAGAAGACTCAGGGCCCCACCTAGACCCACTAAATGGAATCGTCGGAATTGGGCCCAGGACTCTGCATTTCAAACAGGCTCCTGGGATGAGTTTAGGCACGCTAGCACCACTAGCCTTCTGTTAATTCTTACATTAGCCGTCTTCATTTTACCGGTGGAGAAAGTGAAGAGGGGCCAGGGGGCTGGGGAGTACTGCTTGAGGGGGCCTGAAGAAGTGAGGTCCTCCTGGAAAGTGAGATGACCTATCTTTTTTTTTTTTCATTTTATTTTTTCCCATACAAAAATTTATACATACATTGTTACGTGACTCTAATTGCTCTCCCCATACTATGACAGCACACTCCTCCTTTCCACCCCGGTTGCCCATGTCCATTCAACCAGCTCCTAACCCTCTCTGCCTTCCTATCTCACCTCTGGACAGAAGCTGCCCGTTTAGTCTGTTGTATCTACCTGAGCTAAGAGGCACACTCCTCATGAGTATCACTTTATGTCCCGCAGTCCAGTCCAACCCCTGTCTGAAGAGTTGGCCTTGGAAATTGTTTTAGTTCTGGGCTGATAGAGAATCCAGGCGCTATGCCTTCCAGGGTTCCTCCAGTCTCAGTCAGACCATTAAGTCTGGTCTTCTTACTAGAATTTGAGTTCTGCACCCCACCTTTCTTCTGCTCCATCAGGGACTCTCTGTTGTGTTCCCTGTCAGGGCGGTCATTGGTGGTAGAGATGATCTATCTTGAAGGTGAGGATAGAGACTCTTCTACCAGGAGACCATGAAGGGAACACCCATTTATATGCAGTGTTTATTGTCGGTCTCCCCCAGCCAGAATGCCAGCTTCAGGAGGGCAGATCTGTTTTGTTTACTGAGGTATCCCCAGCACCTAGCACAGTGTCTGCCTCATGGAGGTGCTCAGTAAATGCCAAGGAAGGAAAGGCATGGGGCAGCTGTTAGGGCGTCACAGTGGGTCCTCACCCACTCCTTGAGAGAGGACAGTAGGGAGATGGCTCCTGGTCACCCATTTGAAAGTAAAGTCAGATGGCTTTATTTGCCCGGGACCTGGGTACACAAGGGGAAAAGCAAGCCACCAAGGCCTCCAATATCCGCTGCCCATTGCTCGCATTGCTCCACGTTCCCTGCTGTGTGCAGGGTGCCTAGAACGGTGCCTGACATATATAGTAGGCACTCACTAAATGTTTGTTTGGAAAGAAAGAGTAGAAAGGACAGGAGAGGTGAAGACAGCAGAGGCGAGGACAGGAAAGGAGAGGAAGACATAGAGGCCACCACCTCTGGAATCCATTGAATCCCTTTTTGGCCTTCCCTCTCTGCCTCCTTGCAGCTCAGATTCTCAGCTTCCTCACCCACTTTCAGAACCCCAGCTGACATTGCCACAGTGAATTTGCCTGTGTGTGTGTGCCTGTGAGTGTGTGAGCGTGTGTGAGCGTGTGTGAGCGTGTGTGAGCGTGTGTGTGTGAGTGTGTGTGGAGGGGAGGAGATAGTGCATTGCTGACTTTAGTGTGTGTGAGGGTGGCTGAGGGTATAAACTAATCTTAAGAATAATAACTCTGGGCCTTGCCAGCTTATGACTACAAAATGAGGTCGCATTAAATGTTTAAAGTGTGTTTTTAAATAGTTCTATGCGCATATGGTTAAAAACACCAAAGAGTACGAAAGCATATGGTGAAAACTAAATTTCCATCCTCCTGCCCCCAGGCTCCCGGATCCTGCAGAAGGCAGTCGTTGTTATCATTTTCTCCCATATCCTTCTAGAAATATCCTCTCTCACCCTTTAAAAGTTTTTACACACATCTTGGCCTACTAACAAACACTTCTGCACCTTGGTTTTCACACTAAACAAAATATTGCTTCATTCCTTTGTAAATTGCACAGAATCCCATTAGATAAAATGTCTCATGAGATTACGGCGCCCAAACCAACATGGCTCAATTGCCTATCCTACGCCATTCTCAGGAAGTCCAATATTTTGCCAGGTTCCTCTTCAACTTGAAGTGAAAGGCATGATTTTGGAGTCTCCACTCCTGATGTCCCGTATGTACTCTGCATGCACACATGTGCATACACACACACACACACCCCCCTTCTTAGAACAAGCCATAATGTACAGCATGAAAAAAAAAAAAGAACAGTTGCCGTCTTGCCTACTCCGACACATGGCGACCCCATGTGTGTCAGAGTAGACCTGTGCTCCATAGGGTTTTCTCTGGTTAATTTTTTTGGCGGTAGATGACCAGGCCTTTCTTCTGAGGCACCTCTGGGTGGACTTGAACCGCCAAACTTTCACTTAGCAGCTGAGTACATTAACCATTTGCACCACAATCTAAATTCCCATGGAGAAAATATTTCACACTCCTTGAACCCCCAACCTCATAATATGAGCTTTCATTTCAAAACCACCTATAGCCTGACTCTGCTTTTCCCAGGAAAAAAATAGATGGAGACTGCATTACATTTGTCCAGGAAAAAGGCCACCGTGGCTTTGACAGAATAGCGAGACATGCGCCCCACAGGTAAGTCCAGGCCTCCAAGTGTTAAGAGACTTAAAATTGCTCACAGTTTTTAAATAATCATTTGATGCTAAAATTCTTATGGTTTAATGTTCATTTCCTTAGATTTCCTAAAAATCATGTGTGACCCTTAAGGGCTTATCACCGTGTGTGCGGTGTCGCAGGGCAGCACCACAAGAAGCGAAAGGGGAAGAAAGCCCCGTGGTCCCCCTGGGTTGTGTCAGAAGTTTCCCAAGTGGTGGAAGAAGCTGACTGGGAAGTGATCC